CACCCACCCGCAACCCCACAGTCCCTTGGCCGACCCCACACCGCCCCGGCAAGTGCTTTGAAACGAGAGTGCTTTGAAGGGAGGGACGTAGCATCTCTCTCATAAGGTTCGTCGTTCATTGTCACGGTTAGGTGTCGCGACCCCGGTGATTCGCGCTCACTCCAAGCGAATCAAAGGCCAAAAGCCCTAATTTGCCTCTTAAGAATAACAAAAAATAATCATGAAAGAAAAAATAAAATGGGGGAACAACTATTCCCGATAAGGCGCCGCGCGAAAGCCTGGATGATGACGATGACGATGATGATGATGATGATGACGACGATGATGATGATGATGATGATAACGATGATGATGTAGGTTGGTGGCGGTGGTGGTGGTTGCGCTTTGGCGATCTCGTCGACCTCTATCAGCGTTATGAAGCGCGTCCGGTGCGTTAGGTAGGTTCATCATGTGGGTCGCGAGTCGGAACGGGGGTAACGAGGGTAACGGGGGTAACGGGGCCACGTAGACGGCGTTCACTCGCTAGTCTCGGCGCTCTAGTGGTGCGCGCGAGAGCGTGGCAAGCGTCGGCCGCGGGAACACGGCCGTACGCCGGAAGCGCCACTGCCCGGAGTCCGAGCGATAGGGACGAGCGCAAACAGCACCGAGGACGGGACTCACCTGGGTTCTAGGCGGCTGTTCCTTGGCCGGGGCCTTGTCCGCGTCGCTCTGCTGCTCGCTGTCACTCAAGCTGCCGAGCAACTGGCTGGACCTGTTGCGCTTGACGGCCTCGTCGAGCTCCCAGTCGTGGTGCTGGGAATGCCGGGAGGAGCGGCGCTCCGGCTGGGGCTCGGGCTCGTTCCGTACTTCCTCCTTCTTACGGCCAAGCTGCTGGGCCTCCGGCTGCTCGGCCTTATTGAAGAAGGAGCTGAGGTTCCAGCGTGGCTTTGACTCCTCGACGGCCGGTGGCGGCGGCTCCTCCGGCAGCTCGCCCGGCGACAGGGATGGCGGTGTCGCCGGGCCCTTGGAGCTTTGCCGGGGCCCGTTGCACGGCGAGTCCTCGGAGTCGTCGCTGCTGTCCGAGCCGGACTCCGAGCCCGAGTCCGAGGACGAGGAGGCGCTGCCCGAGCTCGCCGGCGCTTCACCTGCAACCCAACCAATTTCCACTCTCTCTTTATTATTACCATAGGGCCCGAGTGGTGCGCGCGGCGTCCTTTGCTCCCCCCACGACGACACGCGGCTGCTCTCCACGACTCGATCGTCGCGCTCGGCCTTGAAAGTCGAAGCTACCCATCTGTCGCTCGCGCCTGTCGTCGGCACCTGCCCGGTCGACGCCACTACCGACGTCGATGTGGCGTCCGCTCGTGGCCGGAGGCTCCTCGATAGGCTAATGCTGCTAATCGTCAAGATCGCGGCTGCGAGGCTTCCAAGCGGTAAGCCGTCTCTCTCTCTCTCTCTCTCTCTCTCTCTCTCTCTCTCTCTCTCTCTCTCTTTCTGCCCTTGAATTTTTTTAAGGCGCCTCCGATGTGCCGATGGGGATCTGTGCACCCGTTCGAGAAAGCCCGGTGCGACTCGAGTCGACTCATGTCCTAATGCGATTAATCGCGCCGCGCGTGCAAACTTGAAGTTTGGGACGGTTGGGGATGCGCGTGCGCGTACGTGTACGGTTTAGCCACCATATGCGGCGCGAATAAGAGAGAAAGTAGAAGAGTCACGAGGGAGGATTAGACGGATTCTTGGATAAACGAATGAAGCGCGATATGTGTAGGATCCGAGTCCGAGGGTGAGAATACTGGGTGATGAAAGGCTATTCTGGTAGGAGGGTTATCGGTGTTTTGACATCGGGGAAATTGGAATCGGCGCGAGTGCGCCCGGCGATTGGGAGAGTCGCTCGGTGCACTTGGTGCGGACGGAGATACTTACCGGGAGGACTGGGCGGTCTTTGGTGCATGGCATTAACGGTGGGACCGTCGTCGGGGCTCCCGGTGCACCTTGACTGTGGCAGCACCGAGGGCCGGGGACTGGGCTTGGCTGGCACCAGGGTCTGCTGCTGCTGCTGCTGCTGCTGCTGCTGCTGCTGCTGCTGCTGATGCTGCTGTTGCACGAGTGCCGGAGGCTGCATCTGGGTCTGCATTTGCGCTTGGACCGGGGGCGAGAGAGGCCCGACCGGGGACAAGCCCATGGGCGACATAGGGGCAAGTGGCGGTGGGGCCGTCGTCATTGCCGGGATCAGCGGCGCCGACAAGCTGTGGACATAATCATGACGTTTTGTTTCAGCTTCATTCTCGTTGTGACATTACATCTACCTTCCCCCGCTAACATTACGCCACCCCTCTACGCACCCAACCATCCACATCCCCCGTGCATCCTCGAGACCCAACATTCGCCTCGCCCCTCCGGCCCCTCCCAGTCGAAATCCCTGAAAGCGTTTAACGAGCGTCCATGCTTGGCACGTTCATTGACCTTCGCGACATATCTTGTTTGCGCAAGAGATAGCGTGAAAAAACGATCGGTCATCGCGAGTCGATAATTTCACTCCAATTCCCATTTAGTTCACCTTAAAATCGCCTTAAATCGTCTCAAAATCGTCTTAAAGTCGTCTCAAAATCGTCTTAAAATCGTCTTAAAATCGTCTTAAAATCATCTTAAAGATACCATTTTCTAGGAGAGAGACGATATTTCACACGACTGTGAATGGCGTGATTTTAAGCGGTCGCGCGCCGTTTCGACGAAGACGGCAAGTAAGCGAATGCCATTTTCTAAATTATTTACAATCTTGTATATCGGCCTTGACAAGGGCTGGATGAATTATTCTATATCGGCTCCTCTCATGTAAAAGACATAATAAATAAGTAAGGATTAATGGCTCGATCATCGGGTGGCAATTCAAACGCGGCCATAATAAGCCAATCGATCAATTTCTTTCCACTTCCCACGCGCTCCACTCGTTCCCCTCTCCTCCTCATCTCTCCGCTCCATCGCCCAACACCGTCCATAGCTCTTTGCTCTTTCCTCCTGACTCTCCGCCCGACTCTTTTCTTCTTTTCTTGCACGCCTCGTTCATTTATCGGTCGCTTGTCGTCGCCTCCTGACCACCGTGTATCTGTGTGCGGTGTGCGAGGCGGAAGCGGAGGGGATACGAGGGTTCGTACGTATTTAAAGTTACGCGCACCGATTGTGGCCCGCGCAAAAAACCAATGCGCGACGATCGGGGCCTTTTCATTAATTCGGGCCGATAACGTAATACGTCTATCGCCCGCCCTGCCGTACGATTGATAAACCTCGCGGAGGAAAATAAACGAGTAGCGGATAGTGAGGTATACACACGCGCACACACACGCACACACGCACGTATGTATCTACTTATGATTCTCTTTGCCGTGCGAGAAAACGAGACTATATCGAGCGAGAGATAACAAACAGATATCCGATTAGGCGTCTCCGACCGACGACGTAGCTTATCGCGGACCTCCTCCACAGGCTGAGTCTCAACCGCTAATTACGTGACATTCAATTGCGTGCTTCGCTATATAAGTGAAAATCAGGTATTCACCGCGCTCGTTGTTATTATTGAATGTGTTCGGTTGATTTTGTTTGATTTAGCCAAGCGCTAGGGATTTGGAAAACTCGCGTTAAGAAAATTCCTTGTCTTTTATGTTAGCGAGTAGGGCGTCGATTAAGCGAAAGAGGTTAATTTGAAGAAGAATACTTGCAAACGGGTCTCGCCAATTTAACGTAACGCGTCATTAGCTTCGCACTTTGTGCAAATTTACCAAATAATTTGTCCGATAAATTGGTAGGCTTGCGCATAACGTAAAACATGTCGGTACTTACTCGACCGATATTGCTGGACTTCTTCCATCCCTTATTGGCCTCGGCGGTACAACCTAAACCAAATAATAAGTGCGTTAATTGAACGGTCGGGCAATTGGAATAATTATAAAATCGTTCCCGGTATAAAAAAAAAAAAAATACCTTAGGAGTGTCTTCATCCTCGCTATCTTCGGAAAGACTCAAATCTCGCTCCAAATCGCTGTAACATAAAAAAGTGTTGCCTCGTTAAAACAAACAGAGAGAGAGAGAGAGAGAGAGAGAGAGAGAGAGAGAGAGAAAGAACAAAAATGAAGAAAAAAAAAACAAACAAACACCAAGTCGAATTCTTAGGGATAATGCTATGGAAATATACGTGTTGATGCTCAAAGTATACGATTATTATTAACGGAAATAACTATTTTCGGGATAAATAGCGAGTCGAAGGATATTTCGTCTTGACATCGTTTGCAATCTAATATGATTATTTCTGGAGATTGCCGATCGAATATTAGAATATTACACCTCGAAAGCGCTCCAGATCGAATGGGGGAACAAAGTCGGTATAAATTCTTGGACATATAATTTTTAAAACTAAAATGAAGTACGCAAGTGCTTTTCTTTATAGTCTGTTGGTATCAGTGTTTCGTAAAGAGAATAGATAAGATAAGGTCTGGATCGACCCTGTATTGCTCGTCAATTCCATCCTATACACAATAGCCTTTTAAAAATAACAAATAACGGAATTCATATTAATTGTAATTAACACAAATCACGGCTCTGTGACAAAGGTGTTGTTGTCGCTGTTTTTTTTTTTGTCCCCCCATTCTTTATGTTTATTTATGCATTATTTAAATGGGATAATTAATATTTATGCATAAGTATGGAAAATCTATTTGTGAGTCGGATGTACTTAATTGCAACACAACGAGTACTAAGCGTACTTTTGTTTTCTTCTATTTATATACTTTACTCATATGCTCATTTATTCATATATTCGACTACACTCGCATATTTTTCAAAGGTAATCAGCATATCTTTTAATTTTTTATCTGGTTTTTTTTCTCTTTTTCTCCATTTTTTTTGTTTTGTTTTTGTTGTTGTTGTTGTTGTTGTTGTTGTTGTTGTTGTTGTTGTCGTTTTTTGTTTAAACGAGCTAAAAATCCGTTTTAAATCTACGATCCATAATGAGAATGAAATATTAAAAGCCCTTTAGCCCTATTGTTGTTTAAAATGCTATTATTACTGCTAAAAAATTACATAAAATTCTTCTATTTCTTCTTCTTCATCTTCATAATCTTCTTCCTCCTCTCCTCCTCCTCTTCCCCTACTTTCTTTGTCATGCACAAAAATATGTAATAAAATACTTTTAATGGAGAACACAAATTGCCGCCACTATCTCTGCTACTCTCGCGGTACTTTCACTTGTCGATGTAAACTATACTCCCGATACGAGCGATACGAAGAGATGCAACTCGACTCTCTTGACCGCACAGAGTGACCTTTCACAAATTCGATATATCGTCGTTTCGCACTTGTAAATACGATTTGCAACTCATTTTACAAGTTGGCCTTCACCTGCGCTGAGGAGGGGCCTTCTCACCGAGTTCGTGCCATTAATCCATTTGGACATGCCGCGTCCGTGTTCCAATGTTAACGCCAATTCACCCGAGTGCATGTTGCCGTAAAACCCCGGGAGCTCGTACTTTTCCGGTCGGGAAGACGGTAAAATCGGAAAGACTAGTTCCGCGTACATCTCGCTGGTAATATCCGTCCGGGAACTAGTCGAAATGGAGGGAGGGACAAAGGGTGGGAGAGAGGGGGAGGGAGGGAGACTAGAACGCTGGGAGGGAAGAGAGATAAGGGGAAAGCCAAAAAGGAATTGGCCCTCGAGTGGTTAAGGCTGATGTGTCACAGCAACGGGAGTCGGAAATGCTTTGGTTATTTACGAGTTGGGAATGTCCGGCAAATGGGCTGTGAAAGGTGGAATTTCATTTGTGAAACTGAAAGAAATGCAAGTTTTGTCTCCGTAAGCTAATTGCTCAAGGGAATGGCGAGCGAAAGGTCAGGCTTATGCTGCGACCGAATGAAATCGCGATGAAAAGAGAAGGAGAGAAAGAGAGCCGAGCCTGGGTATCAGGTGAGCAGAAGGTCGAAGGAGTTTCCTCACGCTGGCTAACGACTCGGGCAAACGCACAGACGAAGCCAAAGCTAAATAAGACCGAGAATAATAATAATAATAATAATAATAATAATAATAATAATAATAATAATAATAACAATAATAATAATAATAAGAAGAAGAAGAAGAAGAAGAAGAAGAAGAAGAAATAGT